CTGTGTGCTCGCGCGAGTGTCGATATGCTCTTCTCTTGTACATAAAATTCGCATAAATCTTTTCCAAATATTGTGCCCGTAAAAATCTCTCCGCGACGATCTCTTCTTGATGTAAATCTCTGATGTCGACGTTCAAGAGCGTATTTTTTGTGACAATGTTTTTTATAATGCAACAGTCTAGAAAAATATATTAATCTATAGTATAAAGAGCATTTAACTCATAACTGATAATTCATTATAGATCATGAAAGCCTCGGGATCGTATTTGTCGGTCTTGTTGGCGATGCAATGAATACACAAGCCATTCGGTGGGAGGATTATTAAGCAGTAGTCGTGAAGCGTATGTGCCGCTTACTGTGTAAATATGTCTTCACTAGCAATAGACAATAATAGCGCAACATATTTTTCCATACGTCGATATTCCACGATGGTAATTTTTAGAAAAGAACACGAAACAATAAACCAAGCTGAAGCTTAACCGTTTTGTTTTAACAGACATCTTCACATTTAGCATAAAACATAAAATAAATCACCCGAGTCCATGGTACATCGACTGTCTCTTCATTAAAAAGAATTAAAGTCAGGGAATTGATAAGGATTATGTAGAGATTGAACGCAATTCTACTTGACTAGTAATTTCTTGCTTAATACCAATTTCACGCACAGCCAAACGTTCTCGGTGTAATGAGGGAGCTGCCGGGCGCTAGTGGCCGGATAATTCGAAATCAATAACGCTTGTTACTCGCTCGAGGACTTGATATGAGAAATTCCTTGCGTGGCCCCATCATACCCATATTATTATAATATGTCGGATCAATTCGCCTTCTTCCACTTGCACTTACATTTGCACTTTCTGAACAATGCTCTTCTCATTTTTGCTTATCAAGAAAACACAAGACAAAAACGTTGCGGTACAACATTTTTAATTATCAAATGTGGAACAAAGTCCTCTTTTATAAAAGTCTCTCTCTTTCTCTTTCGATTCTCCTTGGCTTTTTTCATATTGCTTGGCGAAAGCTTGAGCACGACTGCCGGACAGATGCGCGTCGTCGTACCTAGGTCTGCACGAGTTGCTACATATTTAAACGGAACAACTGGTGGTCTCAACAATGTCAACCAAGGGTGAACAGCGGAACACCTATAGGTGATTGTTTGTCATGTATCGAATTTATGAGAAGCTACGACGAATATCCGGGGATTATACATATTACTTTAAAAATATTTAGTGTAGAACCTGGTTTTCCGCAGGATCAACATTAGAGTCATAAGAGGCAGCCACATTTAAAAACCATACAAGAACGACTAGCGGAACGTTAATGTTACATATCGTTTCATTTTCCAAAAGTCGTAATGATATATTTCCTCCTTCCTTTCTCTTTCTTTTTATTTTTTCCTCCAGTTCCTTTATCTGTTATTATTTTTTAGGCGATAGGAGAATTATTTTTATTAATCCCGAAAGCAGCGTACTTTAATATGTGTGATATCAAGAGCGCAAAGACGACTCACTCTTACTGTCGGAAAAATATTTGATCACTCTCTGGAATCATTTATTAAAATTCAAGTGAAGTACACAAGATAATTTTGAACAACAGTCACGAAAATAATACCTGCACCTGCCAGATGTTCTCTTTTTAATGCCTCTTCTCTTTGCAAAATTTGTTAAACTCACAAGTTATTTTCGTGACGAGATGTCAATATACCGTTGACATCTCGTCACGTTATATTGTATCAGTTGTGTATTATATTGTGTGTATTGTAATTTTATCAACTAATAACTAATAACGTATTCAATTCAAAATTTTAAATACTACGATCTGCGATGAACAATTAAATAGACATTCTTTGTTGGATAGTCGAATTGGTGTCAAAACAAGACGAAAAGAAACGAATCCGTCGTTATCTTGAAATAAGATTATTCAAAAAAATGATAAAATTATCATGTTCTCGAAGGAACTTAAAAATTTGTACACGTACATACATATTATATATATTACATTTATTTATTTATTTAGTTTTTTTCTATGTTTTCTTACATATATTAAATAGAAAATGTGAATTTCTTACGATTTAGCTAGTAGATTTTAATAATTTTTACACCGCTACGACAGTCGATTGACAGTTCAGAATGCGCGGGAATAGGAAAGTCCCTTTTATTCTATACTATGATGACCCTCAAAGCGTTTGTATTTTGCTTCCCCGGAGAACATCTGAAAAACAAGGTCGGGAAATATAATTAAAATGATGATAAAAACAAATATATATTAGCTTACTAATTATTGTATGTATTCGCAGAGCAAAGAGGGAACCGCGGCGTACGATTTCGCGTGATACAAAGTGAAACACGAGAAAAATCGAATCCCGATACACGTGATGTTGAGGGCATAGAGACAATTGACACTCACAACGGGGAAAATGATGGATCTCTTTTTAGAATCCTTTATAAGTGTAAGATTTAGCACACACAATTCCGAGCAACAGTGTGTCTCTATATATCGCACGACTTATTTCATAAGAAGTCTATCGTACAACGATAACTAAGGATCACTTTTTTACGATGATATTATTCAAAGTTTTACAAGAGAATAGAAATCATCTTTGAAGATATCTTTGATTAAAGAGAATATCCTTATTGTATATAGATCATGAAAGCTTCGCGTCCTTATATGTCCACGATGCAATGAGCATCGTGTCCAGCGCGAGGAGCTTTGAGCAATAGTCGTGAAGCATGTGTCTCGAGGAACGTGTGAATATGTCTTCACACAGTGATATATACAAGTGACACAACGTGCCTCTCTGTGTTCACGATCTCCGTTGTGCCGTTAAAATGAAAATTGCGCAACGACCATTAAATAATATAAAGCTATAGTTCTCTCCGAGTCCTTATTCTCAGAAAGACCCTTTCACAAAACTCAATATGCCGAAACTCACCAAGTACCTATCCGCTATATATGTAATCTATAAAGGATTTAATGCCGCAGCGTCAATTTGATATTTCGGTAGCTTCGGAAATGTGTTAAAAACAAGAATAGAACCAACTTTAAAATGCACTTCTTTTGCTCATCCTTCGACGCGCTGCGTCGCGAGTCGCCTCACGTATAGTCTCACTCACGCTAACCAGCGTACAGACACTTGTTGATTTCTTATAAACATATGTCCAACGCGAGAGATCACGCTCTCCGCCAACTGTCGCAAGCGAGGACAAACGTGCACTTCCGCGACGCCGCAACACCTCGCCGCTTCCTCGCGCGCGCGGTGCCGCATCCTCTTGACTCGAAAACTCCGCCGAAGTGCAACGAGCGCGACTAACCGCGCATACGTGCATATATCCACGCCGCCTGTACCTACCGCCGCACGAATCATTGCATATTTAAACGGGAGCGGCACGCATCACCGGCGCTCGAGAGAGGGAGGGAATAATCGCCCTGTATGTTCCCTTTTCGTGTATCAATATTGCGGAAATCCACGTTGAGCGTATCCGGAGGAGGAGTAGGAGGAGGAAGACTGTAGCATGGAATAAAAATATTTAATGAGGTGCTACCATTGGTCGAGCGACCGAGGGTGCGCTCATTTCATGACCTTTCGGGACTTCCCAGTCTTTACACTGGTATCCTATGTGATATACGTCGAGCTGTTATTAGGAGATCCATCGGGACAAATTTATTGGGGTCAGAGTTCTCCCTTCCTTTGCCTCCTACATCTCGTCGTAGAGGTGGCCGTTCCGTTACGTGTACCCTCCGATGATTCTTCCCCGTTCACGAGAGAACGACAGCTAGCTGACACATTATGATGCGTAAAAGTACGATTAATCGAACATTACAATTGATGCTCACCGTGTGTGGCGTATGGCCGACCACGTCGGGCATCGCGATCTGCAGGGCGTATTGGGTCATCGCGCTGGGGATAGACGAAGTCTGCCATTGCCGGTACTTTCTGCTGCATTTGCAGTCTAATGACCTGTTCGACCTGATGGACTGTTTCAGTAGCTTCCTAACGCAGGTGAAATTCAGCACAAAGCTGATCATATTTTGGTGGAACCAACGGTGAGTGTTGCAAGTTGACTGCAGTTGTACAGTCGGTTGCAAATTGGTTCACACATTTTTCATTGAACGAAGTTGCGGCGTTTAATGTTGTTAGAATAGGAAGCCAGTGCTGACATGTATACGTGCGTTAATTGGTTATGGTAGGAGCTGCAGTGATAGTTCAGAGTGGTACATTTGTGAAGTCTGGAAGAAAGCGTTCTTTTTAAATTAAGGGAACATTTTTACGAGAAGTGATTTTTATATATTTTTGTAATCGATTACTGCGTACATATACGTGGCAGCAGTGGCTCCAGACAAGTTAAAGTTTGCGACTTCGTTTGATAAAAAGCGTGCCAGAGCGATTTGCAACTGTTTACGCAGGGGTGAACTGACAATTCGTGCGTCGCGACTTGCCGATTCGACGACGTAGGTCGCCTGATGGTTGTGTCGTCGCGCAGAAAATTCATGCGAATGTTGACGATGATGGCCGAGGACTGGGACGATTGTGCCAACAGTGACGTCGGCATGCGCGAGACGAAGTGCAAGGCTAGATTATCGTCTCGCATCACCAACGCGATGTTCACTCTTCACATGTTGACCATCGTGGCGTACAGCGCCGGCATTCTGTTGGCCGACGTCGATTTCGCCGATCAGCAAGCAGAATTGCCGCTTCTCTTGAAAGTGAACCTCCCCGTCGACATAAGTACAAAACGCACGTACAGGCTGCTGTTGAGCGCACAGTTCGTACACCTCATCATGTCCGGCTGCGGCACCGGACTGCTCAACTCGCTACTCTTAGCCTTGGTAAGTTTCGCGAAGACGGAGGGTGCACGCACCGTGAGTAGTGCGTCGTTTTAAAAATTACACATGGTGAGTGACTCCGTTGCCACGCGCAATTCCCTGCTCATTCTGGTCTTTTTTTCTGTCCCTCTTGCAGCCCACACGATTCCTTTTTAATATCTAATCAGTTTCATGGAGAGAGACTGTCGGAGTTATTATTTTCAGACCTTGCACGTGGGCGGTCAAATGGACGTTTTACGCTCTCAGCTGACCGAGCTTGTGCCCGAAGAGGACGCCCGAAGGGAAAGACGCGAGTCGATCGTCAGAACGAACAAAATCATACGGAAGCACCAAAGGATAATCAACTTTGCGGAATACATCGAGGACTTGTACACGTATATTGCGTTGGTGCAATTCACGTCCAACACTGTGCTGATATGTTCATTGGGATTCCTCATCGTCACCGTGAGTCGAGTCATCTCGTGTGTATTCT